GACATATAAGGCTTAGTATTTAACCACTACAAGTCCACCACGAAAACTAGTTCTATTCAATGTATCCTGTTGCCGTCTGAGTTTTCCGTTTCTCCTGTCATCATTTTCATCTTGATTGTACATTTGTATTAGTCAATGGATTTGTGAAGAGGTGTAGCTCCGTCTGAGTATGTTATGAAAAATCTGATAATATTTTTTCGAATAATCAATTGTATACCCTTTTTCTGTCATTTTTATATGCACGCGTCTATATGGTCTCCGTGCTATCTCCTGACAGTCTCCGCTTGTGACCTATCTTCAACATTTGGTACAACTGATGCCCAGCGCTCCGTATGGTCATTGTCGTCCGCAGTCTAAAGAACCGTAAGTTACTCTTTATCTGTCACGGATTCTGTTTATCTCTCCGTGGCATCACCCTCTGGTGGACACCAATGTAGCCTTACTATGCGGTCCCGCATAAGTAGGTTTATGCTTCTAGTGGATCACAGGTCATTGCTTGCTATTTTCGGGTCCAGAATTAAAAACAGTTTGCATTACTGTCTGCTTTATCAACAGGCCTCCGGGCTTGCTTTTCTATTAGTCACAGTCGAGAGGCCATGTTGAGAAGTCGTGTGAAACTTTCAGGAAGGCGCATCTCGAGTTAAATGTGAAGGGAATTAACGTTCCATTTTCGAAATATTTACTGTTTGCCTGCAGCGTCACGTGTAACTGCTCAATTTGGAATAGTGTAAGACTCGCGGAAACTTTGAAGGGGGCTGTAATCTTCGAACCGTTCGCCATACCTCGTTACAATCGGCGACTCAAGATAGGAAGTGGGACTTCACCGTTTCCCAACGATTAATCAGTTTTTTCTACAAAAGAATCCTCCGTTGGGTTATCAGCCTCGCGGTCACTAGGTCCGCATTATCGAAGCTGTTACTGTTTGATTCAAAGAAGAACGTTCTTATCGTTCTACGGAGGAGTGTATGGAGCCTTGTGGCTGATTTTTCAATTGGTATCCTGGGTCCAAAATATTCAAAGTGAATATCTCTGTTCAAATTGGTTTGTTTATTTGCTTTGAGAATCTGTGATCGTTGTAATCGGATTTCCATTCCGTTTTTTCTACATTTCAGATGATTAATGTATCCGATCAGATTTCCGCTGCGTCCATACCTCTCTGTCAATATCTTATTTGTCCTTCACGTAATCCTTTCTTATTTTATTTTTCTAAATTTTCCCGATAAATGCGATTATTCTCAACTTGCTTTTGTTCCTTTCTGTTGATGATGATGCTAATTATGTGCGGAAGGAGTTCGCCAAATTAAATCGAGAGTCATTTCGGGGCATTGTCTTGGAATATCTGTAGCATCGAACCGCAGCTAGAAGTGTCCTCACCGGCATCAGTATGTTGCTTACCGGCTTCACTGTCGAACCTTATTTTGCTCTTCTCTCAGTCCGATACGACGCTAACGAGTGATGAAAACTTGGACAGTGGCACTAGACGCAGGTTTAAACGTTCCATCACGATGAGACTGCACACTGACGTGATATGATTGCTTGTGCACCTCTGTAACCCAATGAGTCACACAGGATAGCGCTGGTTAAGTCGATTATCTAATCCTAATTGAAAGGTCGGACAATAAAGGTTAGATCAAGTCTAGTTACGTGGTTCTCCGGTTTTGTTGTTCAGTTCGATTTGGTGTCTGAGTGGAAAAGAAATGTTGGAAGAGTATTCGGTCCAAGTAGACGGATCTCCATTTCGCGATCAGGCTCTTGGGCAAACTAAATAGAACCCGAATCGTTCTCCTGTTTTGTGGTTGCTGCAATGCATACATAAATACTCCATTAATCGTCACGCCATATCATCGGTACCGCGTTGCCCTTTGCATCAAATGGGTTACTGTTCAGACATCTGAACTTTTGTTCATCTCTTTGTGTTCTGTACTCAATCCCTAATATGCCATTTGGTAAATCATTTATCACTCACCGAAGCTTGTTGCTAAATAGCAATAGGCAGTTTTCCGCCAAATACATTGCAGATTCTAAACCCTTGTTAACCTTTACGTCTGGGGGCCCTCAACTCGAGGCGTGCCATGCAGGTGGATCAACAAGCCTACATTGAGCTCTTAGGAAATTGATGTCGGCTGCCTACCGTATCGTATCTGGGGCTTAGAGACTGCGTGATATTTTTCATTTTATTCAACATTTCGTGTGGTGAAAACAGACGGAGTGAACCCCCATAGTCGCTTAGATCTGATATTTCGTGATGAAAATCGGCAACCTAACCCTTGGGATATGGAGTGGTAAGCCACATAAGGCCTCGCTAGGTTAGGTGTGGTATTGAACCGGGTGACAACAAAGCTGCTTGGTGG